CCTTCCTTCCTTCCTTCCTTCCTTCCTTCCTTCCTTCCTTCCTTCCTTCCTTCCTCATTTCTCTTTCTTTCTATTTTTGTTATTTTTTCTGGTTTCTTTGCTAGTTTCTAAAACTCTGTAATCCTTTTTGTTTTCTTTCATGTCTTTAGTTAAAAAGATAAAGGGGGGAAAAAAACAATTGAGGGCAATTGTTTCATCCTTTCACAATTACATAGTTAAGCCCCACAATATGCTCACTAAAGCTGGGGTGTACAATCTGAGGTCCCAGGATGGCTGCAATCACTCAAAATGTTAGCCACAGACTTCATAGAGTCCCAACATGATTACCATTGAATGATTTAACATGGAAGAAAGAGAAAAACATTCAATACCCAAAGAGTATGGTAATCACATTAAATTCATTTATATCAAATATTAAGTTGTGTGTACAGTAGTTTTTGCCCTGGCATCATCCAATTGCAAGAATGCAGCTCCCATCTTGGTCTCTCAAGCTAAAGTTGTGTTATTTCTAAAAAGACAGAACCACCAGAATGATATATCAGCTGCTCACATTTTTTCATCCCAGAAATGAAACAATGAAAGGAAAATACCTATTTACATGTTGAGTAACATGCTGAGCAATGGCATGCGCCCCTTGCTTTTGGTCTGAAGTCTGGATTGGCTTCAAGTGGCGATTGGAACACCCATTGGATGATGACAGCTTCCAAGGAGAGGAGGAAGAGGAAGAGACCAGAATATTATTAATTTTGTGCACATCCAAAGAATGTTCCACATTTTTATCAATCAAAATCATAATATGAAAGGTATCCCAAAGGTGCTTTTTCAGAAGGCAACTGGACTTTCTTGTTTTTTCTTTGAAGATGTTTCGCTTCTCATCCAAGAAGCTTCTTCAGCTCCGACTGAAGGAATGGAGGGATTCATATTATCCTGTCAGAGCCAAAGAAGGTTCTTGGATGAGAAGCAAAATGAAAAAAGAAGAAAGTCTAGTTGCCTCCTGAAAAAGCACCTTTGGGGCAACCACAACCTGGATGACTGAGAATCTCTATAAATATGAAAAGTGATACTTTCACTAATATCTGTTTCCAGGAGATCATACACAAGTATATGAGTATTTGTAAGAGGGAAAACCTGCCTGGCTGCCAAACTACTATTCCTATTGTATGAATAATCTCATGAAGTGGTATGAAATCCAGTTACATGTTTGCAACTAGCTGGACCCTCTGAAGTTTCTAACCATGGATTTAGGCTTCAGTATTGATTTAAAAAGGGAGAGGAAGAGATAGGTTCTAAGAACTACCTATGGATAGAGACAAAATGAAGGAGGAAGATAGTAGTTTTGGAGTAACTAAAATCTCATCCCCTCCCCCATTTCACACATTTAAAAAATCAGTATCTCCCCCTCCCCCCAACTATGTCAAAGATCTGTCTGTCAGATATCTCCAAGCAGATTGATTTTACATCCCAGTTAGTTCACAGGGGAGGGGACTGAAAGACTTCTTGTTAATTTCATCTTGGTATCTTGCTTGGGCTGCTATGTTCTTGGAACTATTGCATAGGTCTGCAGAATGAAAACAATGCAAATCAACACTTCCTTTTAAAGTGGTATGATGAGCAAGGTAACTTGCATTTGGTCACATATAGAAATATATAAGTGGTTATTATTTTATGGGTGGGAGAATAGAATGCTATGTTAGCCGAAGCTTAGCCATTGAGAGGTGAAATGAGGCAGGATTTCCACCAGCAGGAACACAGAGACTCATAAAGTTTCGAGAATTTCACTGCTGGAAACAAAAAGAGGTGTTTTTTTTTCTGGTATGTTTAGCGAGTGACAAACAAACCAGCTCAGCTGCTATACACAACAAGGACATGAGAACACAAGGATGCAGTTTGATTCTGGAACAGTGCAAATAAATCACACGGGTGAGACTAGGGGGTTCTTAGCTAGATTGCTGCAAATTAGCTAAGTATCAAAAATGTTCAACATGCCTCGACTCAATTCACCTACCTAATTTTTTTTTAAATGAACAATTCATAGATTTGTTATCTACTTTAACAATACTAGTATATTTGGCTCACAATTTGAATAAAAAGCTACATGGAAGGGAGGAAGGGAGGGAGGAAAGAAGGAAGGAAGGAAAACGGGAAGGGGATCCACAAAATACCTCTTCTTGCAAATGGCCAATATCGATTTCCCATGGAACCCCACGAAAGATTTCCAGGGGTGGCTCCCATCCGTTGTGAAACTTTGGAATATATCTTGGGATGTTGGCATCTCTTGGCCATTCAGCTCTTGGAACACATATGAAAAATAAGTTTATTTTCTAGGGAGCAAGAACATACACAGTCTTTTCCCATTTCAGATTACTTGATCTCAAAGGTGAGCATCTTTTTGGAACCCCGGCATTCTGATTGCTTTGCTCACATATAAATGCCATCAATGACCTTACAAAGCTAGAGACAAAACAACCTTTACTCACAACATGGATAAACATCCCACTTCCTGGCCACAAGTGGTCAACAAGTGCTTTTGGGGTCTTTATGGTCTTAAACTCATGAAGAGAAGCACTAGTGAGGAAGAAATGTTAATGTGTGCTTCATTGCTTAGGGTCTCACTTTTTAAATTGGGGAAATTCTTGCCTTCAGTCTACATTATTTCTGTTCAGATAGCATTTTAGGGAATTTTGCCTTTTACCAACTTCAGCCAAGGAAGACATGAGACTTCGTGTGAGCACCATGGCAATCTGATGTCCTACTAGTAACAGGACCATATTTGCATGGAGAATCACGGCTGGATGCAGGTGGCAAAGGTTTTGGAGGAAGGAGAGATTGTTGGGATTATCCACATGATTCTAGACAACCACTGCTTGTGAGTAGACCATGGAAACTATTGTTTTGCAGTCAGTTTATGAGTTCAAGACCTACGAGTCAGGATTCCATCAAAGTCACCCTCATAACGGAATTTTCTGTGGACATTAAGCTTAAGTGAGCCTCGTTTCCTAATCACTTTTTGTATGCATGTATATATATTACTGTACTGGAATGATTAAGACCCTTTGGCTCAGCAAGATTTAGTTGTATTCATCGGATGACTCCCTTTCTCTTTAGTGGAAGATAATATAAATTTGATTTTAGTTTTGTTGTATGCAACCCAAAGTTGCTTGTGAGATTGGTGGCCATATAAATTAGATAAATAAAAATAAATATGTAAACAATTTTCAATTATGCATTAAAAGGGTATTTAGAATAGATTTTAGAAAGTTAACAATGGATTAAGGGTCCACAGAATATTTTGAATATTGGAATATTTCTATGTCAAACTTTGATAAAATAGGTAAACTTGATAAGATGGACACAGCATGTTGTAATGATGGTAGAGAATAAGAACAGGTTGCAACAGATAATTTTGAAATTATTTTGAAGGGGGACCGATGTTAGTTGTGATTAAAAAACAAGAAGGATATAGAGAAAGATATGGCATACAAATGGAATTGATAAAGAAAACTGACAAATATTCCCTAAAGGAGATATAAAACTTTTGAACCAAGAAATGAACTTTGATAATGTTTTCTTACTACATATACAAAAGAACACTATTAAGGTCTTGTAAGATTCTATTGGCAGGATCAAACAAAAGGGTGGCTGTTATTTATTGGATATACAAAAGAAATCTGTTAAAGTTCTGAAAGAATTGTGGCCCCAACATGAATAAAAAACTAGCTCTGGGACTTTTTGAAGGGCCTAAAAATGAGATTCTTAAAAATTCCGGGAAGTTTTTCAAAATTAGCTTATTCAATCAGAGCTAAAAGAGAAAAATAGTTGTATCTGGTTTCCTTTACTTTTGTTAACAAAGAACTATTGACAAATGGAGTGAAGAGAAAGTATGTATTTAGAGATGGTGATAAACTATTAAAATTGCCTTTAGTTACTGGGATGAAGGGCAAAGTTAATCTTTGTTTTCCCCCCCACACTTTTGTTTCTTTTTGCATTTTACTGTTTGTATTTTAATAGTTTATATGTGCTGTTGCTTTTATTGTTTTCGATCATAAAATTAGTCTGGAAGAATCCTTTTTTGAGTTCCTTTTCTGCTTTGCTTTATTTACATACCTTGACTTTGTCCAAGTCTCTCCTAAGGACTCCCACAACGCCATTTCCTTTGGTGTAAGATGCCCTTTCAGGAAATCTGTGGTATCCTTTGCAAGAAGTGGACTGATGACAGTCCTTGCAAATTCAGGGCCTCCACAGGTGTTAACAATCTGAATTACAAACAAGAAATCACAAATGAGAATTTCCAACAATCTTTTATGGCTAAAGCGTTTGGAAGTACAGTATCAATCTATAGGCTTTTTAAGGTGGTTCTTGACTTATGACCACAATTGAGCCCAACATTTCCAGTGCTACGCGAGACAATTGTCAAGTGAATTTTGCCCCATTTGATGGCCACAGTTGTTAAATGAATCACTGCAGTTGTTAAATTAGTAACCTGGATCCCCCATTGACTTGGCTTGTCAGAAAGTCGCAAAAGGGGATCACGTAACTTTGGGAAACTGCAACTGTCATAAATAAATGCCAGTAAAATGGTCATGTCACTTTTTTCAGTGGCGTAACTTTGAACAGTCATGAAATAAATGGTTGTAAATCGACATGTACTTAAACTTCTGGATTAGGAAAATATCTGGAAATCAAAGCTTAGCCATGAAATCAAACTTTCCAGGTTGGTGCATGCCAAGGTATTGTTTTAAATAGTACTTGGGTGATAAATAGGAATTAATGTACTTTATATACTGTAATGTTCACAGCATATTTACTTTCCTAAAGTCCATATTTGTAGTACAGACACAACTGAGTGCAAGATGCACTAGGCTACACAAGTGAATGGGTTGGTGCCATCTAGCTCCTCCAGAGAATGTGTTGTGTTAAGAATGTTGCTATTGACGGCAATGGTAGAGATTCAGTTGAGGGAGATTCAGTTTTTAAGTAAAGCTGTAAGTCAATCTATAATAACACATTTCAGGTGCACTTCCAATTTTATTCAATTTTATCATTCTCAAGTATAGTCGTTTAATTTTCTGTACACCTCTGTACCAGCCAAGAGCCCAAGATCAAAAGTTTCAATTATGGAATGGCTAATGTTAGGCTTATCAATGTTTGAAAAAATTAACTACAAAGAATGTTAAATGCTATTATTCTTGTATAAGGGCTTGATGAAGTGGGTTCATGTGTGTCTGCAAAGAAGAACAGTGGGGAGCAAGTATCCAAAGGTGTATTCTGCCATCAAAACTCAAACTCTTTTGCTTATATACTTGGAGCATAATTAAAGAAGGGATTGTATTGTCACATGGTTCTATTATGGAAAGGGTGCATAAAGAGATAGAGGGGGAGTCAGTTGATAGCTTATCCCATAAATGGCATCTTAAGCTTAGGTGGAGAGAAATCCGAGCCATTCAAAGCCATTTTTCAGCCATTCAAAAGGAGTCTACAGTAAAAGAACTAACTATAAAGGAGACTGGGAAATTCCATGTACAGTATAGTTATCAAGATTTTGCATTTACCACAGACTACCTTCCTATTAAAGGGCTTGACATCCGTGTCCTGTTATTTTTTTCCATCATTGCAGTTAGTAATGAATGGCTATGACTGGATTGTGACCCCCAAAAGTTTTGCAACAATGCATGTTATGCTTTCAGATAGCAATAGCTTTTAGACTTACCGTATTTTTTGGGTTATAAGACGCACCGGAGTAAAAGATGCACCATGATTTTGAAGAGGTTAAAAAAAAGGCCTTCAGAGCTTTGGGAGGCTCTTAGAGTGCTCCTGGGGGCTGGGGGGGGCAAAATGACCCATTTATTGCTCTTTTTTGCCCTCCCCAGCCTCAGGAATACAATGCAAGCCTCCCAAACCCTCTGCATGTCCATTTTGCAAAGGGGGCGGGGTTTCAGTAGGCCAAAAATGCTGTATTCAGTGTATATGATGCCCCCAGATTTTTCACCCTCTTTTCTGAGGGAAAAAGGTGCGTCTTATACTCCAAAAAATACGGTAGGACTTAAGACTTATATAACCGCTTCACAGTGCTTACCAGCCCTCTCTAAGCGGTTTACAGAGTCGGCATATTGCTCCCAACAGTTGGGGTCTTCATTTTATCAATCTCAGAAGGTTGTAAGGCTGAATCAACCTTGAGCCAGTCAAGATCGAACTGCTGGCAGTGAGCAGAGTTAGCCTGCAATAATGCATTTTGACCACTGGGCCATCCTAACTCTTGTAAGAGTCTTGTATTGTATTGTAAGAGTCCTACTTTTGCTGGAAAAGACTAATACCTTTTAGAAATTGTAAAAATCTCTCTAACTACCACAGATTTATTTTTCTTTTAAGAAAGAGAATTCTGTTTTCTCTGCTTTTTTGGTGGTGCACAAAATAGTCATGTGCATCTCCAGAGAAATAAATACACAAGTTGACTCATTAGATATGATAGCCTTGCTATTTCCGTTCTCAGATATTATGGGAAAACTGAAGTAAATCCTCTCAACTTGTCATGAGCCTTTCAACCTCTTAGGTACTATTTTGGAATACTGTAAATCAATCCCTAATCTGGAGCAGATGAATCTTTAAACAGGCTAGAAAAATGTAATATGTGCCAAAACATGCCTATTGCTGGTTTAGTTACCCTTCTTAAACCTACTCCCAAAAATTACATGCAACGGTTAGAATTCAGGTAAGTCAAAATATTTGGATGCCATTAGCTGAGGAATGGTGGATTAAAATTTATTGAATAAGGAAGAAGGTAATTTATACCATTTCCAGTGGTCCAAACAGGAAATGGACTAATTCTGTAGCACTTGGATCCTGAATATGCTTTTTCAGTTTAACCTGAGAAGAGAAGAAAAACAAGTTAAATCTAAATCTATTTTATATTTAACTATGTTATAAAATTGTTCAAAAATAAAATGCAAACAGAAAAAACATTTAGCAACTCCAAGAAATGCCCAAGAAGATATCCACTATATTTCAACCCATATGGTGTAAACTATTTCTTTCTAAAATAACATAAATTATATATTCAGGTTCTTGCACAAGTCAAATTAGGTACTGTATTATGACTCTAACTTATTCCCATGATCAAGTGGGCAGTTGGCCTCTTCTTGGCATTAGATCAACTATTGCAGGAATTACTAAGATTAACTTGATCCCACTTAATCTAGAAGAGTTCTTTTGAAGTTTCTAAAGAACATACAGTTGTATTGTTAGTCAAACATTGTCTAATTAGCAAAAGCTTGTTTAAATTGTATAATAGGTTTGCTTTACTGCAACTGCATTGATTGCAGTCCATTGGGTACCCAAAGCTTGAATTTTCTGCAATGTAGCACCTGAAAGAGCTAAACTGCAAAGGAAACCCTATGAGTTGTTTTGTTCGTTGATATTGATATGGGAGACTGACAGATCAATTCATTATACTGGAAAGAATGTGCTACTTGTTGCTATTTTCACAGGACTCAATAGATAGATAGAATCAGTCTGGCAACTGCTTGTGTAGCCTTGATACTTCTCCCATTTGTGAGATGGGTGGCCATATACAAGTAGTTTTCAACTTACAACCATTTGTCAAATGACNCTTTTTAAGGTGGTTCTTGACTTATGACCACAATTGAGCCCAACATTTCCAGTGCTACGCGAGACAATTGTCAAGTGAATTTTGCCCCATTTGATAGCCACAGCTGTTAAATGAATCACTGCAGTTGTTAAATTAGTAACCCGGATCCCCCATTGACTTGGCTTGTCAGAAAGTCACAAAAGGGGATCACGTAACTTTGGGAAACTGCAACTGTCATAAATAAATGCCAGTAAAATGATCATGTCACTTTTTTCAGTGGCGTAACTTTGAACAGTCATGAAATAAATGGTTGTAAATCGACATGTACTTAAACTTCTGGATTAGGAAAATATCTGGAAATCAAAGCTTAGCCATGAAATCAAACTTTCCAGGTTGGTGCATGCCAAGGTATTGTTTTAAATAGTACTTGGGTGATAAATAGGAATTAATGTACTTTATATACTGTAATGTTCACAGCATATTTACTTTCCTAAAGTCCATATTTGTAGTACAGACACAACTGAGTGCAAGATGCACTAGGCTACACAAGTGAATGGGTTGGTGCCATCTAGCTCCTCCAGAGAATGTGTTGTGTTAAGAATGTTGCTATTGACGGCAATGGTAGAGATTCAGTTGAGGGAGATTCAGTTTTTAAGTAAAGCTGTAAGTCAATCTATAATAACACATTTCAGGTGCACTTCCAATTTTATTCAATTTTATCATTCTCAAGTATAGTCGTTTAATTTTCTGTACACCTCTGTACCAGCCAAGAGCCCAAGATCAAAAGTTTCAATTATGGAATGGCTAATGTTAGGCTTATCAATGTTTGAAAAAATTAACTACAAAGAATGTTAAATGCTATTATTCTTGTATAAGGGCTTGATGAAGTGGGTTCATGTGTGTCTGCAAAGAACAGTGGGGAGCAAGTATCCAAAGGTGTATTCTGCCATCAAAACTCAAACTCTTTTGCTTATATACTTGGAGCATAATTAAAGAAGGGATTGTATTGTCACATGGTTCTATTATGGAAAGGGTGCATAAAGAGATAGAGGGGGAGTCAGTTGATAGCTTATCCCATAAATGGCATCTTAAGCTTAGGTGGAGAGAAATCCGAGCCATTCAAAGCCATTTTTCAGCCATTCAAAAGGAGTCTACAGTAAAAGAACTAACTATAAAGGAGACTGGGAAATTCCATGTACAGTATAGTTATCAAGATTTTGCATTTACCACAGACTACCTTCCTATTACAGGGCTTGACAACCGTGTCCTGTTATTTTTTTCCATCATTGCAGTTAGTAATGAATGGCTATGACTGGATTGTGACCCCCAAAAGTTTTGCAACAATGCATGTTATGCTTTCAGATAGCAATAGCTTTTAGACTTACCGTATTTTTTGGATTATAAGACGCACCGGAGTAAAAGATGCACCATGATTTTAAAGAGGTTAAAAAAAAGGCCTTCAGAGCTTTGGGAGGCTCTTAGAGTGCTCCTGGGGGCTGGGGGGGCAAAATGACCCATTTATT